AATGATCTTTTAAACATTAAGAACAGCAGACAATTTTAAACTTTTATAACTGTTTACAGTTTTCAACTGTAAACTTATAAATATTTAAGATTAGCGTTGTTAAAATAACATTTTTCTTTTTACATTACATAGCCAATTCCATGTTACGCAGAACACTCGATTAAGTACAAAGAATTCTCGTATTTTCGTTCTTTTTTTTACCCTTTCAGGCATCCGTTTACTTTCACTGAAAGGTTCAGGCTTAGGTCCAGCTACTGGCCCCCTCAATCAGGCGTGAGGCCTAGCCTGCTTTTCATCCTCTGGGATTTACATGACGGCAATGAAGCTCAGATGGCTTATTTTGCCACCATTTGGATGCCCTACTCCTTTCCATTCAGTCAGATCTATTATTCTTCCATCTATTCTACGGTCTAAGTGGGACTCGAACTGTGCGAGTTTGGTCACGATGTTTTGAATATCTTATGTTTATTCGTTCGTTCTAAAATTTTCTTTACAACATTTCTTCGGATGGCCTCGAGGTTGCACATCAGTATTAAGAGCGAAAATTATTACCTATGAGACGGACATCATTACTTTATATGATACAAATATATGAATTAAATTCAATATTTATAAAAAATAGACGACTATTGAAAAAATATTAATTTTAGAACGGCGAAATCATGATAGACATATTATTATATTATAAGTGTTGTTCTTATAATTCTCTATCCTACAGTATAATTATTCGAATATTTATTTTTACAGTCAATCAAAATTATGTATTTAATAAAATATAATGACATTATAATAATTGTTCAAAGCAGTGGCGGCTTGTAACCAAAATAATGGAGGTTTATAATGACAGAATTTAGATCTCACTACGGATTTAGGTAAAAAACTTTTATACCCGTATGCATAGTCGATCGCCAGCGATTCGCTAGAGATTCATTCCGGCGTATCGCCAGCGATTCGCTGGCGAAAGCCCTAAAAGGTGGCGACCCGCTGGCGATTGTCACCGGCATGTCATTTCTCGCAAGTTTTCATGTTCTTTTATAGGGATTACCACTGGCATCTCTCGCATTTTATTATTGATTCATTTCTTAAAACTCAAAAAACAATGAACGAATATCAAATTTTTCCCTATAAAAGAACATGAAAACTTGCGTGAAATGACATATCGGTGACAATCTCCAGCGAGTCGCCACATTTTCGGGCTTTCGCCGGCGGATCGCAGGCGCTTAGAAAGGTATTATTACAAGGGTATTGCTTATCTAATTTTGTCATCGTCTACAATATGTTTGGCAGTTTGCCAATGGTAAACAAATGGGTTGTATTCTTCCTCTTTCCAATCGGCCACGTCTGTGATGACCGAGACAGGGAAGTATGTTGACAGCAGAAGTTTGATGCTATCTTCGAGGTTAGCAGTTGTCATGACATCCTCTTTGATTAGCGCACCATTAGTGCATCTCTCTGTTTTTGCCTAACATTTTTTTTTTGTATTCTTAGATGTGAAATTTGTAAGTATCCCAGTACTCTGAGTATTCTGGTTCTGTCCTAGCCATCTCCGGTAGACGTCTGATCGTATTGGACCAGCCTCAGGGGGCAGGATTTCTTATAGACATTGTTTATTGTGCTTTAGATAGTGTTCGAGTGCTTTTTAAAAGCATTGTTATTGTTTTGGCCTCCGCCTCTCTCAGATCCTCTTCCGTCTTCCTAGGGTTCCGAGATAGCGTGGAAGTCAGCAACATCAAGTTTATTTTGAATGTTAACCAGCAGTGGTTCGGCAGTTTATAATTATTTTTATAGATACCAGTTGTGGATAAAGTGATATATACTCGCGTTTGACTGCGAGAGTTTAAAAATGTAGGTGTAGTACCTATATGTAAAATACAAAGATTTTTAGTAATTATATAATCATAAAGTGACTTACCTCTAGCGTTGTTATCCTTACTGTCTCAACTGAAGTGGTAAGCATTTGAGTCACAATCTATTACTAGCTCAAACTTCTGGTCCAGGCAATACCAGGCATTATTCAATCAGATCCTCCGTCTCTTTACTGGGTGGTGGCGTGGTTGCGTCGAAGGGGAGGTATGCAGATGCCCAGATCAAAGGTTTCTTGTTCCTTTTGATGGCGTATTCCATCCTAACCGCAGTTGAATCGATGATGGAATGGTGCGCCATTAAGTGGGCTTTGTATTTCCTAGGAATGTAAATGACTGTCCTAGGTTGTTGAGAAAGCTTAAAATTGAACTATTTAGATTTTTGAGACCGAAAATTTTTGTTATTATCCAGAGTTCCCGGATGAGGGTTATTTTATCTTGCAGCTCATTGTGCTGGAAGTTACATTGCATGATTCTTACCTCTTTAATTGCTTCCTGGTCCACCATTTAGGTTCGTACAGCAAGTTGGTTATTTATTCGATCATCCCTTCCTCCGATAGGTGGAAGAGGGCGATTTCGGATGGCTCCTCGGAGTTTTCTTGCTGGAACTCATCGGTTGCCATTTTTTCTGGCTCGATTGTCTCCACTGTTGGCTTTGCTTGGGGATGGGAGAAGAGGGTCCTCTGCAGAGGATTCTTCACTGGGCCCCCGCTTCAGCCTCTTTTTCGACAATTGGCCTTATAGTCAATGAGGTGAACTCATAGCTCACCCTCATTGATTTGACCTTTAAGGTTCTCATGTCTTCGTCTCCAATGCCGAAGAGGTGGCCCTTGGGGTCTTTCTTGGTTTTACAGTGGAAATTGCACCATTTCGCCACATACAAGTTGGAGTTTTGCCCCTCAAGTCACCTGAGCACAGCCTCCTTCTCGTCAAGGTCAGCTTACGCTTCCCCTGGAATCCAAAGCGAGGCTTTGGTGAGCTTGAGAGCTCGTCCTCCCTTACAACAGTGCATATTGCTTTTTCCCATATTTTAAAGGGTATTACCTTGGTTTCTAGCCATTCCTAAGTCAGGTCATCATACAGTGTGACAGGCCTGGCTTCACCTTGAGGGGATGTGTGTAGTAGTTTAGCATGACTTCTAGAGCTGCTGTTGTGGTCATTATCATGGCTCCCATGGCGCTTAAGCATGCTGAATACCGTTGAGCTGTTGAATAACTTCAGCTTGCTAAGTCTGGTTACCACATCGTTGAGCATAAAAGTAGCTTCATCTGAAAAGTACCTTTCTTTTAAACCCCGATCGCTGGCATATCGTTCAATATTGGTTTAGCAGAATTCGATTCTTCTATCAAAGTCATCTACCAACAGCTTTTGGATCAGATAAACTTTTTTCGGATTACACTTTTCCATTTTTAGTACTCTAACAATAGTAATTAATTTTCTACATATTTTGTGGAGATCTTTAAGATGGCATGTTTCTCTAAATTTTTGCTCGTGTTTACTAATTTACTTTATTTCTACAGCCAATCACGATTAAAATTTCGATTTACTTGGATCCTGTAAGCTTCATTGATGTCTTATACTAACTTAAATATTTTTATAAAAATAATATTAAAAACTGATACTATACTAGAACTACTCTACTTAGCACAATTTAGTTCAATGAATGAGCATTTATTTGTATTGTAATTTCATTCGACTTCTGTATCTGTATCTGTAACGTGTGGAGGGTGGGTTCACCCACAGCACTTAGGCCTTACTAGGTCTATTGTGCATCCTTCTAAGTAGATAGCATCTCCTAGCGCGTGAGTCAGCCTACAGATTTATTGTAGTTGATAACGTCGCCAAGAAGTGCTTCTCTTATATCGGACGGTGTTAGCCAATTCTCACCAAACACAAATTTTCTAATAAATGAGAGCGCCGGGTAATCGTAGATGTTCGCACCCCTTGCAGAGTACAGATTTTGATAGCCCCATGATATGGAAATGCTTCCGTAATTGGCAATGTCCAGTCAGAATGCCTGTGATCAGGCGTAGTTTCTGTCTAGTCCTAGTCAAGTCTTTGTTCGCTGTAGTATTGTCAGGATAACTTAAAAGCTCCCTGGCAAGTCTGCAGCTTCTTGTTTCTTCGCATCTTTCCTTTTCACAAGGGAATATTCTTTAATTAGGTATGTCACTACCGTTTTTGTTAGAAGGGTCTAAAAAGTATTTGGTTGGCTGCCTTCTTAGCAAGTGAATCAGCAAGTCGGTTACCTTTAGACGTGGCGTTACCTTTGTTCCATCTTAAGTTGACCACATTGTTGAGGAATAATTCGGCCAGTGATATTCTTGCTGGCGAATTATTTTACTGCTACGAGAATTCCCATGAGCTCGGTATATCCTAAGCGTTGTTTTATTTTAGAACTGTCGGTGTAGATATGGATCGTACCTGCCACTTCCGGCTCTTCTATTTGTTGTTATCTTTATAAGGCTTATGGAAGATACATGTCGGTGAGATGGTTTTTCATTCTACTTAACGAAATACATTATTTTGGTTGACAATGTAATAAAAATATTAATGATACTGTTGGATAGACAATTAGGAGACCTTTCAAATGATGTGTTTGTATTTTAAAAATTTGTGGGTTACGTCATTACGCCAATACGTAAAATATCTAACATGTATATCGTAAGAGGGCCCTTTAAAAATTAAAATTGACATATTTTATGATTTTTTCATACATACATAATACTGTATATTTCTGAGAAGAATCCACATTAAAAATATTATTTAAAAAATCTTCAGAAATTTATTAAATATTTTTAAACAAAAATTGAAAACTGCAAGATTAACGTAATTTTAAATTCCAAGTATCATTTTCGAAATAATCAACTGCTAATAATATAGGAAAAAAATTCCAACTCAAATTTAATTTCTATATCTGCTGTCTTTCCTTTGAATTTAATTTAATGCCTATTAGCCAAAGTAGTAGTTGTTTTCCGAAGGGAAACGGTCGCTCGTATTTTGTGATATATGGCTTTTGTATTTTATTTTGCTAATATTATCCTTGATTTGATCTATTATCTTCGCTATTTTGAATAGTTGACGAGATTAAAACGACGGTACCCTGGTTTATTCTTTAAATGAATTAATACTTTATAGGCTGAAATTGACTGGAGTAAAGTCACCGCAAACCATGTAGGACCAGGATTGAAAAATGATGTTGCAAGTCAATCTAGAAGTGGAACTCTAAAGATAGTCGGTGGTGACGAATCAGTTCCTCATTCAAGACCATATCAGGTAAAGTCATTTTCAAATATTATTAAGTAGTAAACTTAGATTAAAGAGATCAAGATGTAACATACACAGGTGTTTAATCTGCGCGAATGTTGCCAATTTCTAAGAGAGAGTAACGGAGTGGGGGAACTGGGAGGAGACCCAAACTCTATGGCAGGGGCGGTTTTTGTTTATTAGCATTATAATGAACTATTAGATTTACTTAAATACGTTTAATGGAATTCAGGGGCGTATATATGGGAGGTAATAGGGATAATTACCCCCAAGAATTTTAAAACTTAACTTTTTATATGCTACGACATTTTAAGTAAAGAGAACACAAAAGTTCTTCTATAGAATACTCTGTTAGCTTTTGGACTGTTCTGCAAGAGACTACAATAAAATGTTGAAATAGAATATTGTTAATCAAGTAAGGAATGGTACTCATTGTCTACTAGTACTATAAAGGCAGCATGTGTACAGGCGAATACTGTAAATCAAACCTTGTGAGTTGATTATTATATTTTTTCTACAACTATTACATAATATTAAAAATTATTCAAAATGGGAAAATGCTGTTTTGTATTGTAACCTCAGAAGAAGGTATAATAAAGTTTGTTTCTTTAGAAATATTAAATGACGTGTCACATAAAACTCTAGAAATGCATATATCTGAAACCAAATAACATTTTAAAATTTAAACCTAATAAAAGTCATTTGGTCGCTAGGGATGGGTGATTATCGAAATAAATTATCGATTTATTTTCAAACAATCAATTATTTTCAATCTTTTTATTTTTTCGTATTTTAAAATAGATCATTCGATTATCTTTTAAAAATCGAAAATAATCGATTGATTGAAAATAATCGATTAATTAATAAAAGCGATAAATCGGTGAAATTATTGAATATTTAAAATTTTCAATTATTTTCAAATAAACTATTATTTCCTTTAAAATCGATTATTCGATATTTGAAAAATCGAAAATATTCAAAAAATCAAAAATATTAATTAATTAAAGATCCGATTCACCCATTATTTTCAAATCATCTACCTTTTTCGTACTTATTTCCGTTAGAATCGAAAATAATCGATTAATTGAAAATAATGGATGCCTAATTAAAAATCTGATTCACCGATAAATCGATTTTTCTACAAAAATAACCGAATAATCGATTATTTTTGCAACCACTCTGTCGCTTGCTTTTATCTAAGCATTTATCTCCAAAATTTAGAGATTCGCATTTTTTGATCCACGTTATCTTTAAAACCGCAATCGATTGTATAATAAGTAATACGTATTGCAAGAACATGGATTTTTTATTAAACAAATTTTTTTCGAAATGTTTAGGGTTCTATAATGTACATTTTATTAACAATGTGACTAACTCCCGTAACTTTAGTATTTCTTTTTGCTTATACTAGATCATATTGAACGTTTTACTTTGTTTTAAGACCTAAGGTTCAAATCTCACTTCCTATTTGACAGCAAATCAGATAAACCTTGAAATTTTAAGTAGGTCATCCTGTATTTTATCTAATATTCTAATGAAAATAAAAATTTGTTACCATCTATGCTTCTTTACTTCTTATTTATATATGACTAAATGAAAAGGTCAAAAATTTGTCCTTTCGTAAATTTATGTAATGCTATGAAATCTGTTTTCTGAAATATTTGATTCTAAATATTTAGAGAAATCCCTTAAATGTGGATCTGAAGTATTTAGCCTGTCAAAACGTTAATAAATATTTATCGTTGAGAATGAATATAATTTCTTATCTTCCATCTTACACGCTATTTTTATTTAAAATAGTAGTCGCCAAGCCTGCCAATTTATAGAAAATATATAAGGGGTTTTTTTTCCATTGCCTAATAGGCAGCAATTTTGACAGGTAATTGGACTGCCTAATAATCGGTGCTTTATATATAAAATAATAGCGCAATCTGAAAAACGATACTGTTAATATGACAAAAATCAATCAAAAAAAAAAGTTACTTATCTAAGCTAGATTTTGAAAATCATTGAATTTATTTATAACTTTGACCAGGCACTGCATAAGACAACGTTAATTTTTAATTGTTTATTTATTATTTATTTCAGGTTGGTATTCTTATTACAATGGAAAACGGTGTATCATTCTGCGGAGGTTCTCTCATCGGTCTTCGAACTGTTTTGACAGCAGCTCACTGTGTTCACAAGTTAGTAATTTGTCATTGTAAGAATGATAGTTATTAAAATTAGCATAATATTAAATAAATACTAGCATGAAACAAATTTTAACCACATATACAGGGTTACATAAGAAGTCAATTACACAGAAACAAATACAAATGTAGCAAAAACCTAAGCAAATCGATAGCCAATGCCAATTTCGAACAGTTTTTGTAGAAAGAAAAGTGTTATAAATTTTATTTTTTATCTCGTTTTTTTGTTGGACTTCTATTTTTTTTTCTGAGAGAGAAATGACATATGACAGTTGAGAATTAGGCATTCCAACGACCTGTCCAAATGGCTACCAGTGGGTAATGACAGTTTAGATATGGAAACCCTGTTGTCATGTTGTCATTAACAGTGTCAATGATACATATATAGTTATATAGATTGCTCATAGCTGGTCGTTTACGAGCGGCCATATTGCCTGGCAAATATTTATTAATTTAAATCGGTTTAGCAAAAATGTGTTTTAAAACCAATGTTTAGCCTTTAGATATTTAAAAAAAAATAATTGCTTACATTTTTACTTCAAGGCATAAGCTTATGTTTATTTTGAAAAATATGGATGATCAATCTATGTAACTATCTATTTCATTGACCTTGTCAAATCACCAGGCCTACAGGGTTGCCATAATTTTGCCATATCATAACCCGTCAAAACCCACTGGTAGCCATTCAGTTTGGAATGCCTAATATGATAAGTTGTCCTATCAATAAAAAATTTGTTTGTCTAAAATTTTGACACAATCTTTGATCCCTGATAATGGCTCTCGCAAGTTTTCGTTAGGCTACCTAGTGTATTTCTTCATGGTAATGAATTTATGTTTACATTCTTTATGAATGTATCAAATGTAAATATAAATTGTAAATTATACCTAATACAAATTCGCTCTTTGTTTTAGTATTACTGGTGGTCTCGAAGTAATACTTGGTGCACACTTTATTAATAGTAGAACTGAAAAAACTCAAGTAAGATATAACACATCAGATGTCAGAATTCACCCCAATTGGGATCTAGATCGTCTTCAGAATGATGTGGCTCTAGTCTACCTTCCAGAAAATGTAACATTAAATGGTATGTAGACTATTTATTTCGGTAAAAACTGGCCATGTTTATTTGTGAGATATGCATCTTCAGAAATTATATGATAATATAGCTAGTCACTATAAATTTATTATAAATAATCAGTTGGTAAAAAAGTCAGAAGTTATAAAATTCACCGGGAATATACCAACAGTCCAATGAGGAAACTGACACTTAGAAGGTTCTTTCGTTCGCCGTTGGTGCAATGTCCACCAATGTCACACCATCTTTATTTACCTAGTTTACTTCCTCCTTATTCCTGATACACATGTCGATTGTAATTCACTCCTGCTAATTAGCTGGTGGAGAAAATATCCACCAATTAGGCATTCCAAACAAATGAATTACCAGTGGGCAGGTTTGGTATATCTAAGGGTGGCGACATATGGTGTATTCTATCTACTTTACGTAAAATCATGAATAATGGATTACATTTAAATATTTTATGTCAAACACAATAAAAAATAATATTTAAAAAACCCACCTATACATTTCTTCATAAATTGGCAGGCTTAGCGGGTACTACGAATAAAAATAGCGTCCAAGTTGCAAGACCCCCTTAAATATACAAGAATTTCCCACTGGCACCTATTGTTTGACAGGTCGTTGGAATGCCTAATGGACACCACAGCACCGACAGGAAGGTGTAGTGTATTTTACACCGGGCCAAACGAAGGGTATGGTGTGCGTTGGTGTAGTTCATTCCTACATCAGTGGGACGAACGAAAGAACCTAGAATGTCGAAGTAAAGGTACATCTTTTAGTGCCAGTGATAGGATTGGCACTTCCTAATCGAATTAGGCATGGGTTTTGACAGGTTATGATATGGCAAAATTATGGCCACATGGCAAAATTATGGCAACCCTGTAAGCCTAGTGATTTGACAGGGTCAATAAAATAGATAGTTATATAGATTGATCATCCATGTTTTTCAAAATAAACATAAGTTTATGCCTTGAAGCAAAAAATGTAGGTAATTATTGATTCACAATATTCAAAGGCTGAAAATTGGTTTTAAAACACATTTTTGCTAAACTGATTCTGATTAATGAGCACTTGGGAGGCAATATGGCCGCTCGCCAAAGGACCCGCTTTTAGCAATCTATACAAATATATATGTATCATTGAACCTGTCAATAATAGCAGGCCACAGGGTTGCCATATCTAAACGTCAGTTCCCACTTGTCAGCATTTGGACAGGTCGTTGGAATGCCTAATAGACGCTTCTGTTGACACACACAGTGTTGTCGCGTTGCCATTTTCTTAAGGGTTATGTTGCTCGACGTAATAGCACATTTTAAGTTAGCCGATGTTTAACGGTTGTTTCTGGAATCAGTTTTCAACGTGGGCGTTGAAAACTAGAAAAAAAGCATACATGTTGAAAAAGAAGAACAGCCATTCTGAAGATCAGATGCATCAAAAGATTACGATGTGATAATTAGGCATTCCAACGACCTGTCAAACAATACCTGCCAGTGGGAAGGTCTCGTATATCTAAGGGGGTAGCGACATAGTCTTGCATCTTGGACGCTATTTTTATTCGTAATATCAGTCGCCAATCCTGCCAGTTTTTAAAAAAATGTACAAGCAGTTTTTTTGATTAATAATTTTATAGTGTTCGATATAAAATATTTAAATGTAATCCATTATTCATGATTTTACGTATTGTAGATAGAATACATCGTATGTCGCAACCGTCACATCTACCAAACCTGCCCAGTGGCAATTCATTTGTTTGGAATGCCTAATTAATATCGACAGTGGTGACAGTGATATGAGATACTAAATTAGTATAGCGTTCATATACCTTGCGCTTCTATCGTTATGTTGCCATTATTGATTAGACTATCATTATAACAAAAATATATAAAAAAATGTATTCTAAAATTACTAAAATAAGATAATAACAGTTCAAAAACAAGATATTTAGTGTAGAAGCAACTTTGTTTGGCACACAAATTTCGTCATTACTAATACAGTATATTGATTGTCACCGACAGGAATACGAAGGAAGAGGGGATGATACTTGCATGGAAACGCTTACTCTCATAGTGTAGGCGATTTTTTATTAAAAATTAGAAAAATCTATAATATTCAAACTTGTGGCTATCTGAAATCATTAACAAAAATTCTTTAGCTATACAGTATTTCATAATTTTTACTAGTGTAATGATATAATTTTAAATATTTTTGCAGAAAATATTCAATTAGTTGAACTACCTGAAGTTGGATCTAACGCATTATATACCGGAGAAGAAGCTATCGTCACCGGATGGGGTAAGGACTCTGATGATATCGATTCGCTATCACCGGTACTTAGAGAAGTTACTATTCCAGTAATCGATAATGAGCCATGCAATACCCGTTATTTGGGAGCCATTGTTGATAGTCACTTATGCGCTGATGGCATTAGTGGCAAATCAAGTTGTGCCGGAGACACCGGTGGTCCTCTTGTTTTTGACGGAGTTCAAGTAAGTTTTTAAAATATTGTTTGCGTTCATGCACTCCACATGGTGCCACGGGAGTCAATTTCAGGAATATTAATTAGTTTACTGAGCATTCCCAATGGGAGTGTTCACATCTATTGATACTGACACCGGCACCACGACATCAGCACAGCGCCCATTAGCCGGCACATCACCCGGCTGCAGTATCATTGTCGTGTCGTCTACACTCGATGTTTCATTTATTTATTAGTTATGTTATTAATTTATACTTTGATACTACCCGATACTTGTTTCACGAATAGTGATATTAGTTTGTTTTGTTAAAAAAAATGTAATTTAGTAATTTGATACTATAAAAAAGTAAAAGTCAGAACTTATAAAAAGCCTTTTATTTCTAAAAGAAGCGGCGATACAAAACATTTTGGTCACCCCGAGGTATATAAGGATATACCACGCAGAGATGGTGCTGGACAAAACAGAAATTTATAAGCAGACTTCGTCTGGCCTGAAAACTTTGGCAGATCGAACTATGCAGGAGTACGAAAACTATTTCCTCTAAAAAAAATAATTCCGATATAAGTATTCAGAGAAAGAGACTAGAAATAGAAAAAGAAATAAAGAAACAAGAATTGGAATCGAAAAAACGATAAATTGAACATAATTTAAAAATGTTGGAACTGGCGCATGACTTAAAAGATGCTGAGCCTCAAGTCAAAGAAGAGAAATCTCAAAAAAATTATAAATCGAAATTACCAGACTTGCCGACTGCTAAATCTAAAAGAACAGTAGGTTAAATCATCAACAAGATGTATCATCGATTCCGGAGATTTTCAATAAGCAAACAAAAAATTTAACACCGAATAACGACATAAAATACTTACTATTTCGATGATAAACCGGAAGACTGGTCATTATTTTACAATCAGCCAAAAAGTGTTATATATTTGGGACAGTACAACCAATAATATCTTTCTAAGAATAGTACCAGCTTATGTCGCTTACGTTTTATTATGTAGCCAAAGTTCTGTAACAACTTAAGGCACACAATGTTCAATATAAATATTGTATCCACACGTCGATTATGATATATTTTTTTCTTTAAGTTGTTAATTTTAGCGGCAATTTAAGGATATTAAATATGGCAACCTCCTTTTGATTCGTGTAAATTAACGTATGTGCCTGTCGCTTACGATATTTGTACATCATAGTGTCAATATTTATCGCGCGACGGTAGTTAAATAATCGTAGCAACATTAAAAATATGTTAAACTCCACGGAATCTTTAAAATTTATTTTTGAAATACCGTAGGGTCCGATTACAATTAGAAGAACACAGCTACGTCATCATTTGGAAAAGTAATTAATTGGTTATTGCCGCCTACTGGGGGTTTAGTGGAGTGTTAATATTATAGCAATATAGGAAATATTGTTGTATACCTAACAACTTACTTATTTTTTATTTATTAATAGTTATAGATAATATGTATTCGAAATTCGAAGTAATGGTTATGACGTAGCTGTGTTCTTCTAATTGTAATCGAACACTAATACTAATAAGCGACCTTTATTTAACCCAATGAGGATAGTTTTTAGCAATTAGCCCTAAAATCATGGCTTACTATCTCTAGTAATACATCATTCGATAATAATATAAAATATCTCCAAAAAAGCGAAAAAAAAAACAGTTTTTTGTGTTTCCTGTAAAATTATTTAATTGGCGCATACGATATTTTGCCTGGACAGCGACGATATATGTATTTTTCTGTGCTTTATTTTAATTTATAAAAAACTAACAAGGCACATTTATGTCAATAAATATTGTTAATATTTTTCAGATTGGTATTGTATCATTTGAAATAATTTTGGGATGTGAAGTTGGATGGCCATCAGTATATGCTCGTGTAACTTACTACAATGACTGGATTCGTCAATACCTAAAATAAAAGTTATGGATTTAAATATAATTGTCTTAAGCTGTAAATAAACGTATTTTTAAATAACCTCTTTTATTATTTTGGGGATTAGTAAAAAATCAAAAATGAAATATAGTGGGCCACCCCTTTGAATAAACAGGCGTAAGTTCAGAACAGCAACTCATATAGCCCAAGCAAGGCCGCAAAAGTAAAGCAACTCCGTAATCTAAAAATTCTGTTTTATTTTCAGTTTATCTTTTAATACTGCGGTCAATAATTTTTTTGCTATTGTAAAATATTAGTACATAATGGACATCAAATCAAATTTGAATAGAAAAATTTTTAATTGATAAGAGAAAAACTAAATGAAGTTGTAATTAAATCGATTTGACAAAAGCACACTGATATGACAGCAATACCTACCTAGTAATTAAAGCACCTCTTTAGCCATTTTTTCAAATGCAATTTACTTTTTTGATATACAGTTCATCAAATTTCTAGAGGTGTTCGACGCCCAGACAGAGAACGCGCTACGTGTGACTAAGATAGCTATTGTACAGTCTGCTAAACAAGTTATATTAAATAGTTTTTAATATTTTTAGGTAATTAAATTTTAAAAGTGTGGAATAGTTTAGGGATTAAATTGGTCTGATTGGACTTTCTTAGAACGTTTTTAAAAGCAGCTAAAGATAGTATGTAGAATTGAAAATAATTATTATGCCATAAAAGGTGTTTTGGAATTCCTTCAACCTTTTGAAATTGAGTCAGAAAATATAAATTTTATAGGATAGCGGAAAATACCTATAATTTTTTTGTAGGCCTTTGTAAATCGTGGAAATAGTTTATATTTTATTTCTACCTTATTAAGGAAAATGGTACCTATTATTAATAACGGTTGTTTCTGAAACATTACTAAAATTTTCGAAATTTTGTTTTTCTACAAAATAATAAACTATACTATTTAGAAAAAAATTTATTTCTCTTATAATTTTATAAAAAATAACAGGGGAATATTTACATTTCTTGATCTATTAAACAAAACGATAAATTATCTCGACGAATGACACCATGTTCTAGTACGGAAGCTAGCTTTACATTTTTGTTGGTGGTTTCATGGGTTTCATATCAATTTTTTGTAATTGTAGTTTACACGTACATATACCTCTTAACACTTGTTTGCTTTATTAAAAAAGTGTGTTGTGATTTACGTCGAAATAAGTCAAAAACAACTTGAAACTCCATATAAAATCAAAAAGGAGAAACGGAAAAAAATTGAGCCTGTAAATGAACACAACTCAGAAACAAAAATAGCTATCTAATAATAAAAAAATAAAATTTGATTCTTGTGCAGCTTCATCTATATCATTAATTGTTTTTAGTTTTTTAATGGTTTTTCTTGGTGATGAAAATTCCGATATCTCACGGTTATCGATTCTTTTTTTCTCTCCAGAAATGCGGACGACAGTGTTTTTAGATACTCCTGTGGCTGCAGCAACACGATCATTTACATTTTTAAATGGTATTGAAGGTGAATTAAAGTTTCCTTCTCTTCTCATAAACTCTATAACATTGGTTATTATTTCGCGAGATTGACTGTTAATCACGCGGCCTCTTAATTTGCTATTAAACTCCATACTTAGGTTCTATTAAACTGTAATGAGCAAAAAACACAAACGAAAATAAAAGAAATGTTTTAGCGAAATTTACATCTGACATTTACGTCTGAATGAAATAGTGAAATACTTGATGCGCAGAGTGTACTTTCATTGCGTAAATCCGTCGGGATGCCTGTCAGTAGTGCTTTCTCTGTCTAGCCGTCGAAAGCCTCTAGAAATTTGATGAACTGTAAGTTGATATTATAAATGGTAAAATTTCGACGTGCCATCATAATAACCTTTTTTTGTAATTTTTTTTAGCAAATTAATTTAAAAATGCACGATACAATTTTTTTTATATTTATTAGGGAAAAATTGGAATACTTTCAAAATAATTTTTCGTAAGAGTTTATGATAAGAAATTAACACAACTATTATTTATTTTTGAATAAATTAGGTCCACCACCATAACTCTAGAGCAGGCCTGCACAACTCAGTTTAAGAAACCGTAAGTGTACGAGGGCCAAGAGAGACCTGCAGGCAGATTCCCATTGACAATTCGATATCGAAATACTCGATTTCGACAGTTTGGTGAATTCCGATTTGCGGAGAATCATATTCGCATCGACTAAAACGATTGCGAGTCACTCGCCAGCTCTATGGTGCCGAATTGCTCGATTTCGGTAGATTATTGAGGTTATAGCACGTGGTTGTAGAGATTGTAGCCTTGTAGAGGTTGTGATTTCTAGTTGAAATTTGAAGAGTTTAAAGCATTGTCACTGTTGATTATTCTGTGTCATTGATATAAGAAGTTCTTGAGAATTTTGAGAATATAAGTAAAAGGTCTGCCTTAAAAAATAATAATGTAAGTACCTATAATTAACTGTTAAATTGAAAAAAACTAGCACAAAACTATTAGAGGTAATTATGATGGGTTTATGCACGAATTTAATTTAACTTAATTTAAGAATTAAGCCCTGCTATTGGCTGTGATCACCTTATTGGCTGCTCTTGCGTTAAATTAAATTGTGTGCATAACCATTCCTTTAGAAAGACAATGTCAGTTTGGATCTTTGGATGGCATTGTTGACAATTAAAACACGTATTGCGCATGCTTGCTACGAATACTACTGGTTTCGGAATCGACCAAAACGCAGGGCAATTCGATAGCGAATAGGAATAGCAAATTTCTCAATATCATATTTGGTTGCGAGTATCGAAAGCCATTCGATTTCACATTTCGCACTGATTTGGAATCTCACTGCTAAGCCTATAGTGGTCTGTTCAGATTCTAAAAAAAATAACCTACTCCACTGACATGTTACTCTAAACACCATAATCAGGCAAATGCTACTAATTTAGTCCCAAACGCTACTTTATAAAAAGAATGTATGAGATGTTACGCCGATTTATACTACATCACAGTGACGTATTGAGGTGTGGAGGCATAGTTTTTATGATTTAGAGGTATCAGCTGATCGAAAAAAACACAAGAAAATAAATTTTATTCAACACATGACAGTTATGACTGTCCTTATTGATGTCATTTTAGACAAGTAAACTATCAAATAACACACTAGTGTGTTATAATCCATAACTCACTAGTGCACAGTGGCGAGTGCGTAAATTTCACGAGTGCATAATGGGCTTACAACTCGTGTAACGTACTATACTTTTTCTACGCCCACTTAAAACATTCTCCAAAAAGGATTTAACGTTATGCTTGTGACGATAATCCATAAATTTTCGATAGGTAATTTCGTACCTTTTAGCGGTAACAAATTATGTGTGGCAGCTTGAGCTTTTTCTAAAATCTCCGGTGGAGTGCTCAAAATTTCATCACTTTCACTGCTAACAAACATATTCGTAGGTAAAGTTGAAAAAATGTTCGGATACAATCATATTTTGTTACAAAAATTGACAATATAAATGACATGACGTTTATTTCCATAGCATGCTAAGGAAATGCGACATATTTTTTGAAATATTGTATAATATTTTGCCGACATTTAGGGGCATCACTCTTTTAATCCAAAATGTATCTCGCTAATGCTAAAAGTTTTTTTTATGTTTTTTAAATGACTAAATTTATGTAAATAGACAAAAATTTTGATTGCAATTTGATTAAACCAAGAAATTTAAGTTTTCTTATCAAAACGCACGTGTATGTTATGAGGTCTCATTACGTGCATGTTATTGTTAAAATCGCCATGCATTACCGTCTCGATGATGGTGGGTGAGGTTTTCCGGGTTTTCCTCACCTGTAAGTCAAATGGCACCATCAATCATCTTTAAGTTGCCCCGGAGCGCCACGGCAAATAACAATAATACCCGTCCCTTCCCCTACACAAGTCGTTCAGTCGACTTCAGGGGTTGAAATTTACTCGTAAGGGGGTAAATTAGGGAGAGTAATATTATTATTATTATTATTTATTATAATGTCATTAACAAGGAATGTTGATAGTGCGATTTTTAACGTTTATTGACATGGGCGTAGAAAAAATCTGTATTGATGCCGACGTCAAGGAACGCTGAATGTCTATGGCACTTTGTACCGAAGTATCTTTTAGCGCGTTAAACAACTACAAAAATTGTTCCATCGACATGGTGACAGTACTAGGACCGATATCTGCACCTCCTTCTGGATCATTAGTTTTTTGAGAGTCATTTTGCGTAAAATTTACGAAATCTGTAAAACTAAGATTTTTCAAACAGTCCGGCGCGGCGCACAACTAGCATTAAAAGTTCTAAACGTGGCAACGTCGGAGCTCCGGAGCCATAGTCCACGATTTGAATGTCAATTCTGTAATTACCGTTCTGTGACTCGGCGCGAACTTTGCAAATGACGCCTCGATTTAGCGCGTACTTTGTGAGGTTATCCGGAAAAATTTATATAAAAATGTAATTTACTAATTATTCACTAGCTATCTTATCTGCTATTTAGCTATCTGTTCAGAAGGTCCTTTGGTACTTGCACTAGACAGTGATAAAAATACCGCAGTCAATGAAATCTAACAGATTGACTGTTTTCCAAAACTATAAATGTTGAATGATTCTGATAATAAATTGAATCGACTTACCAAATGTAGCACCAATCGCCTCACTAACAGATATTTGCACAAAACCGTTCTATTTTCACTTAATACACGTTTATAAGTTCAGTTTTTGTTGTCGCGAAGTTCTTGATTTTCGATAAGTTCGGCCTAACGTTGGGGTGCCAGTTTTGTAACGGGGGCGTAGAATATGAAAACACTGTGCGTATTAAGAGAATTAAATTTTAATGTGTGAAATAAGAATAGGAACAGAAATATGAATAATTATTTTATATTGTCGATTAGTATCGATCTCGGATATCGCGGTCAATCTCACTCTCGTGTTTTGTCTGTCACTCGCTAGGCGGCAGCACTATGCAGACATGGGTTCACGCTCCGAGCATGCTTTTAGCAGGAAACAGAGCCGGTACCAGGGGTCGTGTTACATCCTGTCACTACT